GGGCTTTTGGAATCTCTGGGCAGGGGTACTGTGTGAACAACTTGAAGGTCGTTCTCAAGGGATTCTAAAAGCTTCTCGTAGTCCGGCTCACTCGCTTCAGACGCCGCTTTCAAACACACCCTCAGCACAGCCCGGTCTTGTTTTGAAAGCCGCTCAGATGCTTGCCTTAGCATGTGCGTTATGCTAAGCTGCACTTTCTCTGTCTCCTCCTCAACGAGCTTGCCTGCTTGACGCAGATCCTCAGCCAACATGTACTCCTCCTCCAAGAGAAGTCTCAAAGCTTGGCTGCGTTCTTGCAAGTCTTCAAGAAGTTGAGCTTGAGCTTCGTTGAGGACGAGAAGTGGGGACTCGTGATTCATAGCGGCCTTTGCTGCATCTTGAAAGCTGGGAGGCCGATCAGCATCTGAACCTCTTTCTGGAACTTGAAAGCTGGGAGGCCGATCTGCATCTGAACCTCCTTCTGGACCTTGAAAGCTAGGAGGCCGATCTGCATCTGAACCTCCTTGCCCTGCTTCTCCCTCCTCCTCACCGAAAGGACGAAAACCCAGGCCCTTCAAGTACTCTAACTCGGCAATGTCGAAGTTTGACAACCTTGGGGTGTAAGCAATGACCATGATTCTTTCTCCGATATGGTTCTGGACTTCGTGCCACTTCATGGGGTCAAAGGAGAAGGCCTTTCCTCTCCTTGCTTCCAAGATTTTACCCTTGATCTCCAAGCCTGGCTTCACCTCCTTCATGACAACGTCGACCCCGTCCTTTAAGGCCTCTTCATCGCCAAGCTGAGTCCACAGCCCTCCACCTTCAAAGGAAGTCAACGGACACAACCAGTTTTTTGAACCCGGATAGTTGTGAAAGTCCCGATGTGCTGGGCCTCCTCCATTTCTTTGAATTGTTATAGCTGCAAACTGCTCTGCCTTCATGAGCTCTCTTGCAAACTTTGCCAGGAACTTCGTGACATTTGGAAGCCTCCTTGCTCCATCCCGCAACCCTGACACACCTCCATGCGTAAAAGCACCAGTTGCCCAGCTTGTAGCCTTCCCTCTCGGTTTACGACGCGATGCTCGGGTGAACAACTGCTGAACTTCCTCTAAGGTCTCAAACAGCTGTACCACAAGAGTCGTGCCCATGATCCCAGCCTTGAGGTATGACTCCGCAAGTTCTTCTGCCCGACGTTCCGGTTCAGACAGCGCCTTCAGTGCTCTGACAGCTAACAAACTGTTGCTCGACAGTGCCCCTGGTGTGTCTCCATGATCTACGGGAACTTCAGGAGGTTCTGGATGATTACTAAAAGGTTCACACATCATAAGCCTTGGGACGCTCGTACCCAGAAACCCAACCATGTGCTCTTCATCCGTCCAAACCCCTGCTGCTTCAAGATGACCTGCGTCATGCCCCGGTGGAACTCCATGATCTAAGGGAACTTCAGGAGGTTCTGGAGGATTATCGCTGGTGCGAGACTCGTGAACTTCCAAAGAACGCTTACCAGTAACTCTACGGGCTGGCACAGGAAAGGCTGCTTCAACAGGAGGAAGCGGTACTTCACTGTCAGGATCCTCCACGTTAGCTCTCAAGTGAAGAGACGTTACAATTCTCCCAGAAGGAAACCTGACGATATGTCCTTGTCGAAGCTCCTGCGATGGGCCCACATAGACTCCTCCTTGCCATCTGTCTTCAAGATCGAAATGGCCTCCAGTCCCATACACTTTGTTCTTGACCATGACCGGGGATCCAAAGGGTATAACATGTTTGTCTCGCCCTAAAGCACACTCTCGTTGCTGAAAAGCTGCAAAGACCATAGCGTATGGCCAACAACATGTATCCAAGCCCGCAGCCCTCAGCAGGGTTTTTGTTCGAGTCTTTGCCCGTCGAACACCTGCTTCAGCACGCCCATTGGTCTGAGGCGTTTGTGCCTCACCGGTAGTTGGCAGGACATCTCTGTGAAGAAGCCATGTACGAAGCTTAGCCCCTCTCAGCTCGCGTGCCCTATCGGAATGGACTCTAGTCACCGGCAAGCCTTCAGAGCGAAGTTGCAGGTAGACCTGCTTTATTGCATCCTCCACTTCTGGCATGAGCCTGGATCTCAAAGGTATGGCGTAGTGAAGGGTTTGGTACTCCATGGTGTCTCCGACATCCTTATAGAGCTCTTGAAACCTTTGGTTCGATTGTTCGAGCTCTTCTTGATCCTTGGATTCTAGAGGAGGTTCTGGGGGACTTCGTTCTTCTAGAAAATCATCTTCTGCCGGAGGAGGATCTTCTTGTTCAAGGCCTTCACCCTCAGGTACTGGAACATCCTTAAAGCCAGAGATCTTAGGCATGATGTACGTGGCTATGAGGGCATACCGATAACCCTTTCGTCCAGCAAGCTCTCCGGAGCGCCGAGACGGACCGCAGACATCGACGGACAAAGCGTAGCACGAGGGTGCAATTACCCTCCTGTGAGCTCGTCCAGTGGCCGCTGTTTGGATGCATGTCCTGCATCGGCGGTCGAACGGAAGATGTCCGTTGGCGACATGCCTCCTCCAGTAGCGAAATTCCTTTTCTGTCCAAGGAGTTTCCGAATCTAGTTTGTGAAGCATGTAGCCCAAGAACATTTCATCTGGTTTCACGCGCCAACGATCAACAGCTAAACCCAGATCTTGCTGAAAAGGAAGCTTCCATATATTAGGCCACGCCCTTGAAGACAACTTCTCTGAGACCTCAACACTGTCAGGGGCCAACAAGTCACCTTTCATGGCCAAGTTCGTGGCAATCAGGTAGTTCGCTCCATCTTCATGAGACTCAATCTGCATCATCGGAACGTGATACTCTTGCCTAAAGGATTGCCACATGTCCGATTTCCACATGGAGCTTGCTGGCGGAGAACCCAAAAGCAAGTACGGAGGTAGGAGCCCATGCATAGCTGCCCCTTGACGAGCAACAGCCCAAAGCAGCAGCTGTTTGGCAAGCAGTTCCTGACCATCGTTGACAGGAGGACAGCCAAGAACACCTTCAACCTGCCCTCTTGCTGCCGCCAACATGAGCGCTTTGTACATGGGGCTGTCACCCTTCATGGAAAACCGCTTGCTTCTTGCCACGTTGCAATCTATCGTCACAACACCCTCCGAGTTGCTGACTTGTAGGTCCGCTTCTCCTTCTCGGCGATAAAGTCTCACCACCCAACGCCTTGCCATCATAGCCTTTCGAGCACTTCTGTTCAGAGGGAGCGCCTTCAAGTACTTCCACCCTTGCTTATCATCAAGCCCAACTTGAACTGCGGCTAGTGAGAGCACCGATTGAGGAAGTACCCCTAGTGGAGAACCTGAAGATGACATCGCCGTTAGCAAGCAGTCCCGGCCACCTGTAGCCACAAACTTGCCCAGCAGGAAGTCCCAGGATCTCATCTCCTCGTAGTCCAAGGCTCGAACAGAAGTTTCCGCCATAGCCTCCTCCAACGATTGAAGGTGCTCCTCCTCCAGTTGGGAAATGAGCTCCAAAGCCTGAGTTTCAGCAAGCATGGGGTGGTTGCCCTTCACGAAGGTCCTGAGGACACCAAACTGAGGATGAATCACTTTCAGGCCGCCCTTTCTTGTCCATGTAAGCTCACAACCCAGCTTCTGAACCAAAGCTCCAAGGGGAAGTATTGGAGTTGCACACGCCGCCTCTGGGTCATCAGCGGCTGCCAACAACGTCCCCGCCCTGTTCTGCTTCAACGTAACATATTGCCCTCCTGCAAGTTCTACACGAACAGGAGCAGCTCGCTCTACTACCTCGCGGTCCGCTGTCTTAAAGGCATGAGATGCCCCAGAGTCCAGGAGAGCAAAACCTTGCTCGTCTTCAAGTCCCGCTGCCCTTATCGCAGCACTCAGCTCTCCAATGCTCTGATTTGTCTGGACCTCCAGGGTCTGCAACTTTGTAAGTTTGCTTAACATAGCGTTCGCCTCCTTGAGAAGCGCCCTGACCTCTGCATCCTTGTTCTCAGTCGACTCTGAAGGAGATGGCTGCAGCTGCAAAGGCACTGGGGGCTGTACCGCTGAAGTGGTAGCCGATGAAGCAGAAGCTTGGGCTGCCTGAGTTGACTCCAAAATCGCTTGTTGTTGTAGTGAGGGAGGAGCAGGAAGTGACAGGAGGGTTGTCTGTGCATCTGTTGGCTCGTTTCCCTTCTTTGGGGATTTGGGCTTCCTGGTCGGACACTCGCTTCTATGATGAAGAGTGCTTCCACATTCCCAACACCGCTGCTTTTTATCATCCTTGTTGTCGAAGGTATGTCCGAACTTGCAATTGGCTCCCTTTGAGCAGCCTGTCTTTGAAGCAAAAAACTTGCAGGGAACCTTGGAAGCAGCGGTATCCGTGCCTTTCCTTGCTGTAGCCCTTGTTGGAGATGCTGATTCTCCTGTGCCAGCAGTCGCGCCTTCGATGGCCTTCAACGCAGTTCCAGAGGAAGTTACCTGGACAGGCGCCACCATCTGCAGCTCTGCTAGAGCGTGAGTGTAAAGGCGCAGAACTCCTGACACAGTAGGCCGCCCTTGAAGTTGAAGCTCATTCTTCATCAAAGCCACCCTAAACTTCACTTCAGGATGAACTTCCAGAACCTTCTTCAGCATAAGCTCCAAGGCAACCAACAAGACTGATGCATCTGGGACAGAAACCTGCATAGACTCTGCCCTCTCCAAGTACCTCCTCCACTTTCGCAATGCCGCTATGCACTCATGGACATTCTCGCCACACGCCTTGCCCTCCAGATGCTTCAGAATTGAGGCTCTCTCCGAAGCACCTCCAGGTTGATATAGCACGTGAAGTCTAAACAGCAGCGAGGGCACGTCCACGATGCGGTGCGTGATGGCATCTTCCTTCGCAGGTTTCCTCATGGAGCTCAAGAGGAGGGTCATGACCTTGCGATCCAGTCGTGCCCACTTCTCTTCCTTGAGTTCCCTCGGAATCTGAGGCTGTAAAGAAAGCCTATTGACAGGAGAAGCCATCATGTACTCAGTGTAGGTTGTTCGCGCAACCTCCAAGCAAGCCCCAAACCACGTCGAAGCCCTGTCTGACAGACTTCCAACGGCCTGTTCAAACTCATACAGCCAATCGGCGAAAGCCACCGGAGCCTCAGCCCCGAGTTCTGGCATTGTTGGGACCTCCACAGTCCCTTTGAAATCCCCTTCTCGGGAATCTGCCTTGCCTATATAGGCCTGCTGCAACTGGCGCATACCTTGCACCAAAAGCTGCAGGGGTTCTCCAACTTCGGCGCCTTGGTTCGCAGGGCCTGAAGGCCCGGGACCAGAAGAACCAGAGGCTTCTTGTCCTCCATCAGCTGGCCTTCCGTCCAACAAAACCCTACGATCAGGTAGTCCCCCTAGTTGTACTGCAGGTACGCTTGAAGGTCCCCCTGCTCTAGAAGGATTTCCACCTGATTCTCTGGCACCTTGATCAAAATGAGGAAGACCTTCTCGTGGTTCAACACCGCCAACATTCCTCGTCAGAGGGTTAGGGGTCTGTTCAAAGCAAGACCTTCCCTCATGACCTCCATCAGGAACTTGTATGACGTCCCCACGCCCTCCTCTTGTCTGAAGAGAAGCCCTCAAACTTGCATTTTGAGCCCGGAGTTCTCTAAGCTCGTCGTCCTTTGCTGCCATAGCCAGCTGAACCTGCTTGCGAACTTCTTCTCTCACCACGTCCGGAGAAAGACTACCGGCTGAGCTCTCAGGGTTTCCTTGAGGAGGAGCTGGTGTTGCAGGAGTTATCAAGGAAGGTCTTGTAGACAACTCTCTCATAGCTTGAGCCACTTCTGGAGTAAAGACGCTCCCTTCTGAAGCTCCTTGACGATCACCCTCATGACGCTCCGCTCCTTGGCCCGAGACTCTTGTAGAAGAAGGCGGCGCCGCAGTAGTGCGCGACACCTGATGCAGCACTGGTTCCACAACCCTTCTCCTCAAAGCTTCCCCTGCTCTTGCTATACCAGCAAACACACCAGCCCTACCATGAACTTGACCGTCACGGAGTTGTTCAGGTAGGGGAGGGGGATCACCATGAGGAGTAAAAGGCTGGTTACCTCTAGCGGATACATAGCCAAGCCCTTCAAAACCATCACTACCTTCAGGCTGAAGGTTCACATGCCCTTGCGTCAAGACGGTTTGGAACTGCATCCTTTGACCCATGGCCGCCGCCGCACTAGTCATCGAGGTTGTCAAAGACCTCATCATTTGCATAGGCTGGGGTAGGCTTCGAGGATCAGGATATTGGGCAGGTGAAGGCATTGAAGGACTTCCTTGAAGAGAAGGATATGGACTTGCAGTTTGCCCTAGAGCTGAATACTCCAGTCCTGAAGAATTCACAGCTCTGTCTCTTATCTGCGGAGACACATATCCAAGCTGCTGGAGCTGACTAAGCTGCGGCAATGCTTGAGCTTCTGGCTGCTGCGGTTGGTGGAAGTGAGATGGTGCAGGTTGAGCTGCTTGCTGAGCGTTGTGGGGCTGTGGTGGTATTGCTTGCTCATGTTGCTGTCGGTCGAACCCTTGAGGGGGGGAGCCCCTTATAGACCTAGCTTCTTCCCTTATGGCGTTCGTCGTCCGGTCCGGTTCTGCGAGCGTCGCCGTACCACCAAGTCCGGTTGTCGCAGCTGAAGAAAAGCCTTCCTCTGCTCCGGTCACAGCTCCAACATCATCAACAGCAGGAGTCTCCCTTCTCGCACCATTCACAACAGGTTGTCCGCAACCTGTACTAGCCACAGCTCCATAGTTAGGTCCCAGAAGCTCGCCTTCAAGTACAGTGGCAGCACCTTGGGCTCATAACCTGAGGTTGTCCTGAAGATTCAGGGCTTCTAAAAACAGGAGACAAGGCTTCGGCCATGGCATGCAGCAAGAGGACTACTTTTTCCCAGGAAGTGCGATATGAAGCTGATTGAGTGCCTACATGCATTCCGTGCCATCCTGAACCACTCGTGGGCTCCGAAAGACAAGCATGAGCTTCTGCAAGTTCCTATAACCCTGTCCAAACTAAGCATGAGTCAGGTTCGGCAAGAAAAGTGTTGGGCTCCCGCTGGGTGTGTGACTGAGCTTCATGGCTCGCTTTGGGGAATCACTTTTGTGCCGAATCTGAATCCCACAACATTTGGGAGCTTTCATATTATCAAAGACAAGGAGCCGCAGCATTGTGGAAACACTCTACCCCTAAACCCTAAACCCTTAAACCCTAAACCCTGTCTGTTTTGAGGTTCTGGGCCTTGGACGTTCACTGGCAGTCACAAGTGGAATTGCACATAGAACAACTATAACTGGTCACGACCTCATTTGAGTTACTTGAAGTACTATAGTACATTGGGATTATCTTGGGATAATGGAAAAGAAAATAGAAACTGCCATTTGGGATTTAGGATTTAGGGTAGCCATAGCCTGGCTCGCAATGAATCTCCAACCCCCGACTTTCTGAGCACGTAGCCATAAGCAGTGGAGCGGACGTAGCCGATGCACTGCCCGTCCCTCCTGGGAGAACTTTGCAGCAAGTGGGAGTTTCCCAAAATTAGGGGTACCCCTTTGGGGTCACTATATTAAGGAGTATAGTATTTTTGATATTGGGGTGACCCTATTTCGGGAAACGGTGACGGCAGAAGTGATGGGAGTATCCAATGCCTGAAATTGCCAACATATTTGCAACAACAAGGGAAGGCATGTCTCCATGTTAACCTATGTGTCAAGAGGGCGTGAACAAACGCAAACAGAACGGTCTCGTGGCTTGAAACTTGCGAGGGATAGGACATTTAGCCGTTCTTGCTCAAGAAAAGGGATATCCTCAAAATCATGGGCCCTAATGATTATAGAATAAACTACCGCGCCTAACACCTAGGGGTACCAAAATGGGACCTTACTTCTGGGAACTACTCATGAGATGTTCAACCTCAGTGTTGGTCGATTTTTGGCACGCACCGTCTTCAGTACGGCGCTTCATCCCAGAAGGGACTTCAAGAAAGGTTAACTGAGCATCAGCCCGGGAAAAGTGTATTGCGAAACACTATATACTTAGAGGGTCAGGGGGACTCAGTAAGCAGGTCAATGACCCCTAGAGGGTCACGTGGACTCAGTAAGTAGGTTAATGACCCCTATAGCCACTATAGTAACCCTAGTTTTCCCTATTATTAACCTTGTTACTACGTCCCCATGACCCTCCAAGCAGTATTGTAGAAGACTTTAGGATATTAACCGGATGCCTAATATCAGCCAGGCCTCTGCAGTACTTCGCTTTCTGAGCGAGGAGGGTGTAAGGAAAAGGCTTCCCGCATGGCGGGAATTATGTGAATGATTGTAAGGGCAGCAACTAACACGAACATACTTCTGGTAATAACATCCCGAATGGGGTTTCAGCAGGCTTCAAATGAGTGTCATTCTAGCAGATTGTCTCCGGTAATTACTTAAGCCCCTACATTACTTGGAGAGTTATTTGGACTTTGTAAATAGGTTTGTAATGGCGATAATTAAGGTTACTACATGGTTTACAGGGGTTATTAGCCTACTTACTAAGTCCCCCTAACCCTCCAAGTACTGTAGGTATTGTCCATGGGAATCATATAGCACCCCTTAAGTAGATGGAATATGAGGTATATGGGGATCTTACTATAATGCACCCAAAGCCATATTCCAGCTACTTAAGGGGGAGTTAAAATCCCAACAGGTCTCCAGATGCTCTCCGCACCATGGAGTGGCACCTCGCCAGCCTGCAAGAAAAGGGTGCTTGGTTCCAGGAAGGTATTTGAGATACGTATGAGCTATAGTCTAAACTCCAAGTATCCCCCTTAATAACACCTATTATGTAGGGTTTAGGGTTTAGGGTCTAAACTCCTAGTATCCCCCTTCATAACCCCTATATTAGTGCCCTAAATATTCCCCCATATAAAGCCCACATTAGGATTTTACACTATAGCTCATACATATGTAAATATATATAGATACATATATAATGAACATTAAAATAAGGTATTAATGGTGAATCAAATGGGACATAAATCTGAAAGAGGGATGACATGGGGATTTATTGTTTACGTGCTGGGCACGTACATTGCGACACATCAGTGGTATCGATCATAGCAATTGCAAGGGACCGTAGGATACTACCTGGTACTGACTTAGGCTTTTCGCTACCTCGGTTGAAGTAAGAACGCCGGCGAATCAAAACGCCTTAGAAAAGCTGCAGAATATGGTAGTTTCCCAAAATTAGAGTACCCAATATAGACCCCAGTATACTATAGTCCTTATTATTGGGACCCCCAAAAAGGTACCCCTAATTTTGGGAAACCCCCATATACTATGCAGAAGATCAAGCGCAGTCTCGGCAGTATGGGCTTACGACCCACAAACAATGCGTGAGCCTGAGGGTGAAAACATTAATCAAGTTGAGCCATGAATAACAAGAACTTTAGTCCCCCTTAAGTAGATAGAATATGGGTCCCTTTAAAGGGGTTATATGGGGATTCTATGGGGATAATGGAAA